GGATGAAGTTCATATCAGATGTTTTTGATTAAAATTCTTGCTTATTATCGACATAATTTGCATATTATGTAGCCATTTTTGACCTATTCCTTGTATATATCAACTACTGATCAGATTTCAATGAAACTTGGTACATATGTACACAGCCATATACATGTTTAGTTCAGGGTATATTATGTGCTTACTGACTACCTAATATAGTAAATACTGAGTATTTCTTATTTGTACTTCATGCCTTCAATATCCTTCCCACACAGGAGTTTTTTTCTAAGCTTTCTTTGATTTAATTTTAGTATGTGTATTTTCATTGTAGATGAAGAATCATTAGTGCATACATTACTAGATATGAAAATAGCATCACTACGGCAACAGGTAATGAATTAAACACTGAAGTATGTACAGTATACTAATTATAGAAAATGGTTAAACCCAATGTACATGGGTTTGCAGGAATACTTGTTTTCATAATGCCATCCATGATTTTATGTGTTTTTTTCACATGATTCATTAGTTGCCTGAAATAGGGATGTATGAATCAACTCTATGCATCTACTCTTTACCTCAGACATGCCTGGTTCAATCACATTCAATTCACATATATGTTATACATCATGGAATTAATATATATGCACATGCAAGATAGCCATGTGTTGGCCATTTTACCAAAATCAAGCAATTCTGCCATTCTAGAACCAGATTTCATTCTGTAGTTATGTATTGATGGATTTTGTCTTGATGCATGTCACTTTGTTCTGAAAATTGGATTACAAATGGTTGATAAATGACAAATGTTGTACTTAATCCCTGGTCATACATCAACAAATTTTACGCATACATGGAACATAATGGTACCTTGGTGCTTGTCATTTGTTTTTAGATCAAATTAAAAATGGCCAACTGGTAGCCATTTTGTTATTCCAGAGTGATTTATCAACATGGTTTGACCAATCACTTACAAACTACACATTATGTCACACATGCATTTGTTTCACTATCCAATTAATTTCAATTTTGTTTACTATTGCATGACAGGGCATGTGTCACAGCAATGATATGTTTTATTTTGAGAGTCCTCATTCTGAAGATTCAAATATTCTCAGTTTTCATTTGTTTTTTGTATGCCATTGCCATACCTCACATGTTATGTCTAGTGTAATGCTATACTATTTTATAACTAAGAAGAATGACTATCATACCAGTAATAA